CTGCTTGGACCTGCACACCACCTGGTGATCTGAAGGTGAAGATTCTCCAAAATTGAAGCAGCTGATACCTGCTGAGCGAGCTTGCCCAAGATGCCTGGACCAGGCCTACTGAAAGCTGTCTGCCAAACCTTCGATGCTGACTCAATGCTCAGATGTTCTCTAGCGCCTATGATCTTGATCACATATGGATTTGAGATAAAGAATTGCTGAGAGTTCTCCCTTTTACCTTGTTACTCAAACTTCACCACAATAGGTCTTTGGTCTGTGCAATTTTCCTTTGATGTGGGACAAAACACCAAGGAAAGACCATTCCTGGCGTTGAGAGATAAAAAGCTGCTGAAACTAGAAAAAACATGATCCTTGAACAACAATGCTTTCAAGGAAAGATCTTGACCAAAAGGAGGAAATGTAAAAATTAATCAATAGAAATTTCATTTCATATAAAGTCAGGAGACTGAAAAATGAGCCCTTGTGCCCATGAACCACCGAGCCCAACAGGAAGCACGCTGTGTTTAAGCGACTCTCCTAACTACCGTCTCCACTCTATAAAATAGTTTCTTCGCCTTTATTCACATTGTTTGCCATTAGCACAAATGTCTTGAATTGTAATTTTTTATTATTCCTGAATAAACCTATTTTGCTGGAGAAATAGCTGGTCATTTATTTGTTTAAAGTCAGCAATCCTTCCTCAGATATAAACGCATTTGTAAATCACCACCCTGTAAAAGTGCCAACCAGAACCAAAGCACACAGGGATAGTGCTGCTTAGTGCACATCTGCTAGGCATTCCCCACGCCACAGACAGGTGTCTCGGCGGGGAGGCTCGGGAATGCACATCCAACCCTGCCCACTGCAGCACAGAGGCCTGCGTAAGGTTTGCTACAATTATTTCCATTTTAATTACCCCAGAATAGTATCTTGTATTAAAAAAAAACAAAAAAAAACCTCCCCTATAATAATTTATATTTATTTCAGAGAGACCCAGTTGGAGGAAACATGGAGAGGTACTTATTCTGATCTGCAGGCCCAAAGTTTTGGGTTAAAGAACCAGGTTGGACAGTGAGTGATGGGGACAGTTAGAAAAGAGACACAACCAGGTCAAAACCGAGGACCTGGAGGAAAAAGGAACAAACTAGCAGATAACCCCAAATCAGAATCAAACCAAAGTTTTACTGCAGGATCCTGGCTTGCTCAGTAAACGTGCAAATAGATGTGTTTTTACTTTCCTCCTTCTGGAAGTTTTGGTGGCAATAAAATAAGAGAGGGTAGTTTATCTGATGTTTGCAGCTGTGAGGATAATAATTAGAATCATATAGAAATAATTATGATCCTGAAATATCCTCAGTGATGTGTGCATTGAGCCCCTCATGCTTTGCTTTCCTCTTGTAAAACAGAAATACTAAGAAGGAAGGGGCACCCGGCATCAAGAAGCAAATAACCTGATTTAAGAAGTGTGCAAAGGGCATATTCAAGTGACACACTAAGAGGACGCTCCTGTCTGAGAGGCTCACTAGCCTCTTCTGTGTGAGTGAAAACTGTGTCGTCCATAAGGAAAGTGTAACAAGGCTGCCTGCCGAGTTCACTGACCATCCTACAGCCTGACTGAGGAAGGGTGGATGAATCTGCCCACCTCCCTGACTTAGTCCAGAAAGGTTAGTTTGGCCCGGTAGGTTGGCTAGAAAGTCCCCAATATCCCTAACAGCCGTATAATTCCAGGACCGCCTGTTTGGAATGAGGTCCAGGGCTGCTGCTCACCCCAGCTTGCTTTGTCCCTGCGTTCTTCCTCAAGTTAAATTGGAGAGAGTTTACAATATGCCACCCTAGCTGCTGTGTTAGGGTTTTAAAGTTGGAGAACCAAACATTTGGGGTTTCATCCGAGCCTGGAAAAAAGATTTTCAACAGAAAAACACTTACGGGGCTCCCAGTGCATTGAGCACTCTGTGGATCACACTGAAACACCTGTCCCCCTAGAAGGTTATTACGTGATGATCTAATGAACCCGGAGGGCAACGGAGGCCAGAGCTCCTGCTACCTGTCACCACCCAGCACGAGGAGTGGGTTCTAAGTGTGTGTCTAGTAATATCAGATGCCAGAAATCTGAGAAGATGAGGGGTGAAAACCCTAACATCCACCTGCCCTGTAAGCTTGTTAGGGGAAAGCTTATATAAAGGAGTCAGGGGAAGGGAATGTGGGCAGGGAGCAC